TTTTGAACAAGTTTTAAAAAAATAATATTTTGTCCCTATAGGTACCTACACTATACTTATCAACATATTCAATCATAAAAATTCCGTTTTGATTTTCTTCCTTATTATTTCAAATTTTTCATTGTGAACTATAGTCTAAACTAAAGGATGGGAAGTGGGTCACAAAACATGAAGATAATGGGGTACCAGCATTTTTCTATGTTTTTTATTTTCGCAAGGCAGAAAAGAAAAAATAATCCAAGCTCTCCGGCTTGAAAGAAAAAAATTTCAAACACTTTTCCAAACCAAAACATGAATTTTGGATTCAGGACGGTATCAGGTTAACATGCTTCTTCGACATTTGAAAAATAAAAAATTAGGCAGTTTCTTTTTTACTGCAAAACAATATATTGAATAGTATCTAATGCTATAACACGCAAGAGTTATACCTTTAAACTTGCATGATAATGTCATTAACGAAATGCTTTATACCACATCGTGCAGTGATTAGAGAAAATGCGACATGAAACTTCACGTCGTATACGACTTTTCGATCAAATCTAGTTCGGGTTATTCGCTAAATGATCTTACACTAAAGTGTTATCAAGGACAGGATAATTTATTTGATATTCTTTGCCGCTTTAGGACCTTTAAATTTATTTTGACTGCAGATATAAAGATGATGTATAGAGAAATGTCGACCAAACACCACTATTTACAAAATATTTTGTGGAGTGATTCGCCCTCTGAGGATTTTAAATGCATTGAACTGCCCGTCTGAGTTTTAGACAAAATTATTCTCCATTTTTAGTCACCCGCCTCATTAAAGGTATTGCATAAAATAACCGTTAAATTCCGGTAGCAGCTAGCGCTTTGTTATCCCTCAACATATATTGACAATATCTTAGGTGGAACCGATCAAGTTCTGAGCTTGAAATACTCTATGGATAAATAAATCAAATATTAAACCAATATGGTTTCGCTTTACATAAACTGTTTGCCATTTTTTTACGATTCTCGTGAGTTTAATAAAATTGAACACTTTTATTGACCAGTTGTAGTAAAATTTTCATTTCTAGAGATTAATCTTTAAAAATAATGACATGAAATTGTAATTTTGAGTTGTGGCAACAAATATGAAACATTTGAACTATGAATAAAAAACGCAGAATTTAATGTTTTACATTACAAACCATTAGGTGTTACGGGAAATCCATTTAAGAAGACGGTTTTGGCTGTAGTTTATTGCAGAAATTTGGTTCTTTTGAAAAACGTACTAGTTTAATTGAAAGTTTTAAATGTTTTAGATCGTTTGTTATATAAAAGTTTAAATCCAGTGTTTTTAAGCACATTTCAACTGCATCACACTTGTTGCCAAAACTAAAATTTGACAAAATGACAAAAATCGCGCCACGTTTCATTATTTAACACCTGTATAAAATCTGAGTTTATTTGCGGCATATATATATATATATATATATATATATATATATATATATATATATATATATAACAATTTTTAAAATTAAGATAAATACAGATGCTAATATTACACAAGACATTGCAAAGACATTTAATATCTTTTGGTAACTGATTAAGTTTAATCTCAAATCCCATTACCCTATGTATATACTCGATGGGATTCATACTGCTCATGCTGTGTGAAATATCTCATAAATGCCAACTTTCAAGCACATGTCCTGCGTTGATTGTTACATAAATGTCACGTCCTACGTCGAATGTCACGTGTTGCGTCGAATGACACGTCGTTCACATCATTTCACGTGACATTTCACATCAAATGTCACGTCCTGCGTCGAATGTCACTTCATTTGACGTCTCGTACATAGCAATCAGATCAATAAAAATGGAGATACGCCCCGTTTTCCTATAATACCATAGCCGTTTTCCTATGTTAATATGTCCCGTTGTCCTATGCTGCCACGTCATACTTTGTAATGTCCTTTTGGCATTGTTGTTGTTGTTATATTTTTGCTCTCCTCCCCTTTTCAACGAGCTGTCGTACGTCACGATCGGATGATCCGTTTAGGCACTACAAGCTTAACGTCCTTTTGGCAATGCGTCATCATGTTTTTTTCTGTGCCTACGTATTCGTTGGCCCCTCTTTTTTTTCATTGATACCTTACATATTGTTGTACGTTGATCTGTTTAGACGTTACAAGCTTAGTGTCCTCTTGGTTTTACGCTATCATGTTTTTTCTATGTCTACGTATTTGTGGGCCTCTCCCCTTTCCATCGATACCTTGCATGTTGTACGTTGAGCAGTTTAGACGTTACGAGCTTAGTGTATTTTTGGCTATACGTTGATAACTTTGTTTTTTGTGTTAACGTATTTGTTACTCCCTCTCTTTTCCGACGATAGGTCACACGTCACGATCTGACCAATAACAACGGAGATACGATATACTGCCGTTTTGACAAAGTCTTTGCGTTTGATTTTTGTCTTAACATATTCGTTACCACCTCTTCTTTCCATTGATACCTTGAATGGCCAGAATGGACCTCAGAATTTCTTATAGAGATTTACATAGGAAAGGACCTGTTTTGTGCTCTTAGCCCTGCTGCCCTTTATATATATATATATATATATATATATATATATATATATATATATATATATATATATATATATATATATATATATATATATATATATATATATATAATGTTTAGTGACAACGCTACTAAGGAATCTTCGAAATCAAATTCCGAATATGCAACCGTAGAGATGCAACAGTTCGGAAGGGAAGTATATTTATTTTACTTCTCTTTATTTTTTTCATAAACGACTACCCAATAGCCTAGGTCACTCAAACCATGTTTAGCTGGTAATATACGCCGATGACACAAATATTATAGTGTCATGTTCTAATGTTGAGGAAATTAGTAGACATACAAATGAAATAATAGAACAAGCCATTGATTGGTGTAACTGGACTAAATTATTACTCAACACCAGTAAAATTGAAATTTTGATTTTTACTACAGATCCTGGTAGAGTAATTTTTCCTAAAATTGTATCTTGCAATGATCAATGTTTAAGACAGTGACCTACGTAGATTTTCTTGGAGTTACATAGAACAAGTACATGAAATGAAATGAATATGTCAGCAGGCTCATAAAAAACTGAACTTATTGTTTTTCAATACTACCACCCTACCATCCGGACTTAAATCCAATTGAGTTAGTTTGGGCTGTTCTAAAACAATGTGTGGCAGATAAAAATGTGGACTTGAAATTTCATAATTTTGATAAATATTGTGATGAATTTTTTTCACGAACACGCTCTTTCTTTCGAGCGTTATTTTATGGAAAAGGAACTAGCTCTAAATTTAATTGTAGATGAAATAAATTAATAATACACTTGCAGGAAGATAGTGATTTGCAGGAAATTTTGGAAAATTGGTTTCATTTAAGAACTTCTTTTATCAATTAAGCTCACACTCTGTAAAGTTGTTGCACAGAGTGTGAGTATCCATATGTATTTTTCTTTTTCCGGAATCTCCGGATTTTTACACCACTTTACTTTTAAATATCAATAGTGTAACATCCAGTTTAACTTATGCAGTAATAATAAAGTGTTACCTAATTGAAGATGCCAATGCGTCGAAACGTTTGAACAATATTAAAGTGCTTTAATAATCTCAGACTCCAGACTGATTCTTCTTCCTGATGTGTCTATCCGTTACGAATGTTGGCGATCATCATGGTAATATTTATCTTTTCTGCAGCAGCGCGGAAAAGCTGCACAGATGTTGTATTGAACCAGATTATGAAGTTCTTTAATCAAGATATTCTTCTTCTTCCTAGACCTCGTTTTCCAAATATTTTTAGTTGCATGATGGCTTGAAGGAGAGCATATCTGGATTCATTTTGCATAATATGTCCGAAGAACTGTAACTTTAGAGATTTGATGGTGGTCAGTTTCTCTCGGTTCTTATTCATTCTTCTGAGGACCTCCTCATTTGTGACTAGGTCAGTCCACGTGATTTTAAGCATTCTCCGTTATAGCCACATCTCAAATGCTTCCAGTTTTCTGCACATATCTTCGATCAAGGTCCACGATTCAACACCATAACAAAGGACAAAGAAGACGTAGCATCGCAGCATTCTTACTTTTCTAGCTTTTCCGATGCGTGCTCTAATCGCTTGGTTGTTGGTCCATTCTTCATTTATGATGGTGCCGAGGTAGTTGTAGTGCGTCACTCTACGATTGGTTGACGTAGAGTTGACCTTCTGATATCCTTTTCTTGCTAATTAACATAAGCTTTGTTTTCTTAACGTTTATATTGAGTCCCCATTGTTGACTGTAATACATGATTTTATTCATAAGAACTTGTAGGTCTTCAGACTGATAGATCAAGGAATTTTTTTCCTACCGATATCTTGTTTTACTGTAGGTATGCCAGATATCTAGTAGGTCAAATTTAAGGCGTTTTGTACACTCTTATTATTTGTAAAACTCCTATTTGTTTTTTCAAATATAAATGCCTTACATTCGAGCAAAAGTGGGATTTTTTCATGATTCTGTTTCCGTATTAGAATACACTAAATTAGATAAAGACAATATTTTTATAATTGTATAGAATCTCATGAGTATAAATATATTTTAAAATAAATTGGTGAAACTTTCCATAAGAGAGAAAAATTTTCATTTTTTTTTTCATCAATTTAAATCTTAAATTCACTACAGTGTTAAGTAGGATATATGTCGCTTATTACCGTTTACCTTTCGACAATAGATATGTAATATAATATTTTTATACCTAAAACTTTATTTAATTACGTTTTTATTCAAAATATCTACGTTTCAAACTACTAAAGACGGTCCTGTACTATGTTGAATAGGATCCCGACTGAAAACTGTAACCCACTCCTTTCACTGTAAATTCATGCAAGTCCATGACTGAAAAGATTTTCTAGTTCTTACCGTTGCTGCCAGATGACGCAACTATGCAATTTGAGCAGTGACATCAGTCCGGCCTACTGCTGCTAAGATTGGTACTCGCCCAAATTTAAAGCCGTGTGATACTATATTGATTTTTTCGTAAAACTACTTGTAATTTTTAGTAATTCCGTTTAGTTTACAAAGCAGTACTTCGACAAATAAATTCAGTGTGTTCCGTATAGTTTTATGAATGTTTGCGTGTGATTTTGTGTTAATTTATTGGATTTATTTGAACATTCAAAGCCGGCTCCTCAGATTAGGTAAGATTTTCGTGCTAAAACCAAATTGAGGTGGGGGTTTGCATTAAATGTTCTAACAATGCTCAGTTTTTAGAAAATACTCTTAGAATTGCATGTGTTAGTAAAAGTGCGAACTGTCTTTGCTGTCGTTTATTCCTAAAAGCCCTAACCTTAAAAATTAGAAATCCTTTCAGACGTCTGGCATATTTTCTAATCCAGCGTCTGTATATTTTCATATAATATAATTTATACCTCTACTAGAACAATGTTTCTTTTTCACTCTTAGTAGAACTATTTATAAATGTACCTATTATTCTATTTTTGATGAAGTGTTATTAAGAAGTTTAATTTCCATGGTGAGCTATTTTTATTAAATGATACAAATTTAAAAATCCGTAAAGCAAATTACTAATTGTGTGCATTCTACCTGCAACAAATCTACAAACGAATATTTGATTTTCCCGGAGATAAAAACTAATAATAATCTATTTGTATTTTATTTATTTTACACTATTACACAATACCACACATTTTCTATGAATAATTGAAATATTTATACCGTTTTATTTCGTTAATATTATAACTTGCATTGTTTTTACGAGGGTTATTTGAAAATTAGACCGATATTGATATTTCAGAGTATCTTAGTTATTCATTTAAAACGTTTTTAATCGATTAAAGACAATTTTGTCATTTTGAAAGTGTACCTAAGTAGGTGTATCAATTTTAAGTTAAATATGTGTATTAATTTATGTCAATTGATTGTAATGAAAATTACATTTTACATTTTTTGTTTTGATGTTTCGATTTCAGATTCGGAAATAATTCTCAAAAAATATAAAAATAAATTGTTAACCTGTGCACAGCATACTATATTAAGTATATGTATGTATGGTATTTAGTGATGGGACTACCTAAAATTACAGATTTAATTGTCACCGAAAAAATAGACATTGGAAGTTTAGGACCGTGTCCTTACTGCTTCTAACATATATTTAGAGGTAAAGCTAGTTACTCAATAAAAGAGTAATAAACGTAAACAATAAAAATAATATTTTTAGATATAGTAATTTTCAAGATATTTGGTTGACTTCAACAATAATAAATGCCGATCATAAACACCCTAAATTTGTAGAGGAGGGTTCGGTTTCAGGTAAAACAGTTTAACAACGTTTCTGTTCCGACGAGTTGATATGTTATGCACAATATTTTGCGTGATTTCGCTATGATTTCAAAGGCATTCAAACATCTCTCAAGTATAATTTATGCGCTCATTATTTAAATCTGTTAATGGGGGCTTGAGGGAATTACCCTATGAGTTTGAGGAATTTTGTAAAAAACTAGATTTAAAATAAATCAATAAAGAAAGTGGAGTGGATTAATAGTAATAGAGTAATATTTAACCCGTAACTGGCGAGGTCCATTTTTTGTTATGTGTATGGCGAGTTGGGGTCATGCTGTCCCCAATTTGTTTTGCAAAATTAGACGCTGATATTTGCTTATATTAAAAAAAAATGACTTCAATAACTTCAAGACGTTTATTTTGTTATAACATAAATTTAACAAATATTTGAAATATTTATCACGCATAAAAAATTAAACTAAGAAACAGCCTCAAAAATTGAGTTATTTTGTAACTAGACTTTAGTTCAGGAACATTATCCTGTAACAAAAAAATGAGGAACAAAAAAATTGCTTTTTTCTTAAAACATTAACCTAAACATTCAATCTAACCTACCAACACAAAAAAATATATTAAAAACAAAAAACATCATAAAAACTACAATCCATTATTATAGGCAATCTTTGCAAATGTGTGTTTCACACATGTGGTATATTGGCGCTTGGCAACTAATGCAAACTATCTTCGTTTTTCTATCCAATGATCGTGGACATTTTGAGCACCTTACTCTCTTTTCTAAAATAGCATTTTTCTGTTCAGGAATGTCTGTTTTTAAAATGGAAGCGATATTATGTCTCAGTTGCCTTGGAACTTGGGAAATAGTTTGTCTTCTTTCCATAATATGACCCTGCACAAGCTGCCGAGAGCCACAGATTTGATGAATTCATAACTCGACTTTTGGGGTTTTTCAGGTAGGGATGAGTATATTATAAACGCATTGACGGAAGAAATATCCAAAACTTTTGGGGGTTTTCAGGCAGGGATGAGTATATTATAAACGCATTGACGGAAGAAATATCCAAAATTGTATAAAAACAACTAAGAGGTTATCTTCGACTTCTACGATGTGTAGAATACACTGTACTGGTTTGTACTGTACTTGTACTGTTTACTGCATTGCTGTAGTGCATTGAAGACATTAAAAGTCCCGCTTTTCGTAGTTTAGGTACATATGAAACTAATGTCGTAATGTATGTAAATAAACTATCGCCAAATCCAAATAGAGATTAGCCTCGTTTTAGTTGGCAAAAAATAAATAGGTATCTCCCTTTAATTTTTTTTAACAGTACCCACGTAAGTTAGGCCTCGGTTCCTCAACTCAGTTATCACTTCTAAGGATGTAAACCAGTTGTCTGCTGTTACGTTACGGTTAGAACCCTCAATACATTTTACTGGACGAAGAACTGATTGTGTTAGTTTGTTAAATTTTCTTTCCTCTTCTGACAATGTTTGGTCATCACTTCCAGCACCTGTATATACATACCCATCCAAAAAATAATGGGTTCGGGCGTCGGTTAGGGCCATTATCTTTAAGCCATATTTTCGGGTTTTTGAGGCATGTACCGTTCCCGTCATAAAAAACTGGTACAACTCTTATAATCAAAAATCGTGTTTTTTAAGTTGTGTACGTTGGTCTTGTCATACCTGTCATTCTGATTTCCAGGGCACCGTTGCCAGTTCAACGAAAATATTATATAAAACCAGCTAAAAGCAAGGCTGTGTGACAGACCGCCAGTTTTGAGTATACTAAAAACTAAAACATTATCGAGCATTCTCGATCAGTCACATTAAATTTGTTTAAACATGTATCCTAAAAAAATCTCGTATTAATTTTGTAATTTTCCATCATCTCAATTACATCTCAAGTATCCATACATTGATTTGTGTTTTATAACAATTTATGAAAATATTTCAATTCAAAAATAATGACAGATAATCAATCTAGACAAACTTCAAATTATTATAATAAAACATTACAATGAGATATTGGATTGTAACTGTTACGTTTTGAAAAGCGTTTTTTCGCACCGAATATTTTCTACTATATAATACGTAGGATAAAGTATAATGTTAGTTTTTCACATTTTTTACCGTTATTTTAATAAATTAATCTTTGTAGTTTGCCTGTTACAAAACTTATTGACACAGAATACAGTTCGAGTTCGGTAGGTAATTGAAGTATAAAATTACAGTAGATGCATTCCAATGTTCCCTGTGCCAATACCCTAGGTTTAAAGATGCTTTAAACATTTTGGATAATAACTCAACCCTGTCTCTGCTTATTTAATTCTTAGATTCAGTTTTTTTTTGCTAATGATAAAAATAATACCTATCTAAAAATTTTATAAATTTTTGAACGTTATTTTTTTTTATTTAGATTTAGTGCAATTCCGTTATCTGTAATGACAACAACGAATTGATTTCTGAACACAGGTTTACATTGTGAAAAAAAAGTGTACCAGTTTTATATGACGGGAAGTGTACATGCAAAATAAACATCTTCCCCGAAAACCAATGAGCATTTCATCAATACAAGCATACCGCCCTACGCAATATCCTTTTTTTTGCTGTTTTCTACAAACTAATTGAAAATTGATGAAATGGGGGCCAGTTTTTCGGTTTTTTACTTTCTTCCCTCGTAGTTTCGTCATCAAACCTAAGCGCTGTCAAAAGTACTAAGAATCGTTTAACTGATATGGTGCATCTAAAAATTTCTCTACCAGTACCATCGGTGGCGAATATCGAATTCAAGTCTTCCGTATTTGATTTAAATATGGCTGAGTAAAATAACAAACCGATAAACGCTCTCAGTTCAATAATGTCTAAATCTTTTAGATCCGTTCTATTACTATCTCTATATTTCGTTCTAATCCTGGCAAGTTTTTCACTTGTTCTAAGAACAATCTCTTCTAAAATATCGTTTGTTATTATAAATTTACAAGCACTTTTCTGAAAACACAATTTCCCAAGAGACTTGGCTGGCCCGATAACCCCAGGAAGATGAGAGATAATGTTGAAACTTCTTGTTCTTACATTTGAAGGTGGAGCTTCTGCAGTCCACTTGTATCGATTTTTTTCGCTCTTTCATCTGCGTCTAGAATACGTTGTTTAAACCGAGGATCATCTGAATCCATTTTATTATATCGTGATAGGTCCATTTTCAACTGAAAATAAAAAAAAAAATTGGATAAAATAATATCTAATATAAAAGGGAGTCAAAACGCGCAGTTAAACATTTCTCAACAATCTTAAATGGATCATTCTAGGCTATTGAGTATGTTAAAAAAAAAAATAGGGCCAAAAGGAACTACAACGTTAAGGGGGTTTTATTGTTTCATATGGTCAATGAAACCCTAAATATGAAAAAACTGCGGAGTTCTACCATTTGAAGGGGTGTATTTTTAAGAAAGGGATGAATTTATCCATATGCTCTAGGGCGCATTTGGGTGAATTCTATGCACTTTTTGTACACATATATTTACCGAAAAGTTGTTCAAAATTAAATTTCCTCTCGAAATATCACCTTTTAAAGTAAACATAATTTTTTTGTCAAAAATATATTTAAAAACAGAAACATGCGCAATTTTTCTTTTCTGCTTCATAACATTTTTCCACCGAGGTATAGGTATAGACATTGCTTAACAGAAACACATTTTTATCCTTCTTCTTTAAAATGTCGTTTGGTAGAAGTTTTTAAAATTTGTAGTATTCCAGATACGACTTTTCAAAGTTCGACATTCAAACCATTTTTTGGCCATTTTCCCTATTCGCAAATCTTGTTCTATAACTTTTTTATACGTTGGTTTAGTTATATGCCGTGGGCCATTTAATACATAGA